CTGCACCGTCAGACGGACTTATATTCTGATCGTCTGGATTTGGGTTTTCAGCTCATTTACAGTTTTGTTCCAAACAATTGTTCTACTGTCAACAGAGCCTCAAGAATTTTTTCATTCCACAATATATTGTATGCTGGAAAATCTGTTCCGACACCCAATTAGCACACAGATGAGAGAAATTAACTATATAATTTATTTAACTGTAGTTTGGTTCACACTTTTCTTTACTTACTTCAAGATCTTCTTCGCTGCCAAAGCAGCTAATTCAGCTGATGGAAAAACAAAAAAGGCCAGAAACACCATCCTGCTTCATGGCTTTCAGCTCCTGCTGTGTATGATAACATATTTAGARCCTTTGGTCAAAAATACTTTTTTAGGCATGTACCCTAAATATGCCAGTCATTTACGCTTTGTTTGGTATATCACTGTACAGATTCTCCCCAGATTTATCAGCCCCATTGTGTATGGGCTGCGAGACAAAACAATTAAACAGCATATGAAAAGAACTTTAATGTAACTGTTTTTACACATTAGGATTACTTATGTATAATATAATTATGTTGCCCTTTGTCACCGTTCTGTTCATAACTTTTATGGATAGAATTTCTAGGCGCAGCCAAGARGTTGAGGGGATCCSTTTTAGTGACCTRAGGATCACATCTCTACTTTTTGCAGATGATGTGGTCKTATTGACTTCATCAGATRCTGATCTCCAGCTCTCACTGGAGAGGTTCATGGCCGAGTGTGAAGCGGCCYGGATGAGGATCAGMGKCTCCAAATCCGAGACCAGTCTTGAGCCGGAAAATGGTAGGGTGCCTTGTCCGGGTCGGGGAGGAGGTCCTGCCCCAAGTGGAGGAGTTTAAGTATCTCGAGGTCTTGTTCAGGAATGAGGGAAGAATGGAGCGGGAGATCAACAGGCGGTTTGGTGCTGAATCTGCAGTGATGCGGGCGTTGTACCGGTCTGTCGTGGTGAAGTGAGATTTACCAGTCAATCTACATTCCTACCCTCATCTATGGTCACGAGCTTTGGGTAGTGACTGAAATAACGAGATCGCGGATACAAGTGGCTGAAATGGGTTTCCTCTGCAGGGTGTCTGGGCTCTCCCTTAGAGATAGGTTGAGAAGCTCAGTCATCCAGGAGGGACTCAGAGTAGAGCCGCTGCTCCTCCACGTCAAGAGGAGCCAGTTGAGGAGGCTCGGGCATCTGGTAAGGATGCCTCCTGAATGCCTCCCTGGTGAGGTGTTCTGGGCACGTCCCACTGGGAGGAGGTCCAGAGGAAGACCCTGGACACGCTGGAGGGACTATGTTTCTCGGCTGGCCTGGTAACACCTTGGGATTTCCCCGGATGAGCTGGTCCAAGTGGCTGGGGAGAGGGAAGTCTGGGTCTCTCTGCTTAGGCCTGCGTCACACGGAAAGATAATTATGCAGATTTTTGCCCTTCAAACAATCCTAAGAAAGTCCAGATTATCATGATGGCTCTAAAGATAATCATAGCAGATATTCCTGCCATGGGTGGTGAGTTAAGAGTGATCTAGTCGGCTCGGAAGGGCGTCGGGACCGCTCCGACCTCAAATCAGGGATATTCAACATGTTTGATTTTTTGGCCCGATATTACAGTTTGAGTAGTGTTCAACTGAGCTTGCAGCCTGTTGAACGAGACGTGCAGCCAATCAGAAAGTGAGGTGACATAAACACGGAGGGAAATCCAAAATAGAAAAGACAAAAAAACCTGTCATGACTCAGCAGAAAGTCTGCTGGATGTTAAAAGTCRTATGGAATTGTTTTTCCTCTGGTAAAAATAGTCCACAAATGATCAACARTGTTTCTTCCTCGTCARAAATATTTATTTACTCTGAACTCACGTCTCTCTGGAGGRCATTTGAGATATTTCCTCTGACATCTGAATTCTCGCGAGATTTCAGGAAGTCTCGCGTGATTTGATATCTAACATCTGAATGTTCATGAATGAAATATCATTTTGTGTGTGGTGTGTTGTCTCTTGCCGTGTGGTTGTATACCACACACTGTAGGACCAAACTTGGTATATTCATGAATTTCTATCTTCACGTGTGGYCTCTCTCAGTCTTTGAAAATCGACCGACTGTTTTAAAATCTTGTYGTGTGARTCAGCCTTTAGGCTGCTGACCCRMTGACCTGACCCCGGATAAGAGGAAGAAAACGGAGGGACGGACAGACATTAGGATTAAAGTTTTTGGGTACTGTGATTTGATGACTCTGGACCAAAAGAGCACAAAGAGGAGGTAGCAACTTGAATGCTGGTAAACAGGAGGAGAGGAAAGGTTTGCTCAGGATTGGAGACTGTGATGAAGTGATTCAATGCAGCCTACTGGTTTCTTCTTTAGATTGTTCTTTTTATGTACAGTGCCCTGAGACAACGTATGTTGTGACTTGGCGCTGTATAAATAAACTTGAAGTTGAACTTGAACTTGAAAGTGAGAAGTGAGACTGAGAGGAGGAAGAGGTTCAAACACTGAGGTGATTATTGGATGAAAACTGATTAACTTGTGGCCCAGGGTGTGAGGAGCTGAGGGGGGGGGGGAATGAACACAAACACACAAAAAACATTTAAGGAATTCAGAAAGTAATGTAATGTGAAAAAGGATGAAGAAAAGTATCAAAACACAAGTTCAAAGAAGCAAAAACTAAAAGCATTCGAAGCACAAACATTAGCAGAAGTAGGTTTCAGAGAYCAATGTTTCTGAATAATTTGAAGAGATCTTAATGTGCTTTGAAAGGGAAAATTCTGAAAATAAAARGAAACAAGTTTAGAAGTTGCAAAAATCAAAAGTCATCACACCCGTTTCCTGAACAAGCTGAGTGTTTTGATTGATGAACAGATGCTAAAGAAAACAACAGTATAAATGCTGAGTAAGCATTCTTTGTTTTTGATCAAATAAAGTTTTTATTTTCCGRATGAATGTCTCTTTGCACAAGCAGTTTTGGTCCATTGTACAATGGGAAAGCAAAGCATTTGTAATAAACAAAGTAAAAAAAAGTTGAGCTCCTTGTTATTTTGCAGTTGCCTCCAGACAGTTAATTAATCTAATTAGTTCAAGAGAGAATTTATTCATAACGTCACACTTTGGCAGGACTTTAAACATCAACAGCAAACATAAAAGCATACCTTACTCCAATTTTTGTCAGGTTCATGTGAAGACGGAAGCGATCTGTGAGGTAGGAAGAATTCTGTCCATCTGTCCGCTAAATGTTTTTATGTCAGTTTTCAAAAATCTCTATTTTTCTGTCATTTAAACATATTTACAGCACACATTTAAGGTCTGAAAAAAGGATTTTAAAAACACTAGTTGGTAAATCAGTAAAAAAAAAATCAGTGAAAAAAATTCATGAAATGTCACATTTGAGCTGTGATTTCTATTCACTGCTATGACTTGTTAATACAAACTTAAAACTTTTAACTTAAAACTTATTTAAACTTTTGTTCTTCCTGTCATGTTCACAATAATGGCATTTCAGGATGTTTTGGTAAATGAATTTGTTTGACAAAATGTTAAAAATGAAAAAAAAAACTTAACAGCATAAAATTTTCAGGTTTCTGATTTTTTCTCTCTGCTTATTTATAGTCATCATTATTATTCTTTGTTCTATCTGATGTTTTCTCTGGTTTTCAGTTATAAATYTTTATTTGATTAATGTCAAAAATGAATTAAGGCTCATTTGTCAGCTCATAACACTAACATATATAATATTCTGTTTTAGTGACAYGAATTTCCATCAACTCCATGAATTCCTCGTCTTTTAGTTCCAACGTGTCGATCAGTCCGGTTGAAGAAAGCGTGGCTGTAAGTATAAGCAAATATGTGATCGTCCTCGCCCTCAGCCTCTTCATCAACTACATCAATGGTACTCTGATCCACACCTTCAGGAAACACCAGGTCTGCTTTTGTTGACATGGTTTTTGGTTATTTCAAAGTTATCAGAGCAGACTGTGTTGATAAAAATTCTAAAAATACCAATAAAAGCATTTTCCCCTTTCTTTAAGGTTTTTTCCCTGAACCCTCGCTACATCCTGTTCATCCATCTTGTCCTGAACGATATGATCCTGCTGACAACATCAGTCAGCCTGTTTTTCATCGCCTGCACTGTCTTTGAAATTAACGTTTCCCTCTGTTGTTTTATAATGATTGTGACTGTTTTCACCAGTCTGAACACWCCYTTAAATTTAGCAGTGATGGCTGTGGAGTGCTACATRGCTGTGTGCTTCCCTCTGAGACACGCTGAGCTCTGCACCGTCAGACGGACTRWTATTCTGATCGTCTGMATTTGGGTTTTCAGCTCATTTACAGTTTTGTTTGAAACCATTGTTCTTCTGTCAACAAAACCTCTGGAGTTTTTTCATTCCACAATATATTGTCTGCTGGAAAATCTGTTCCGACACCCAATTAGCACACAGGTGAGAGAAATTAACTATATAATTTATTTAACGGTAGTTTGGTTCACCCTTTTCTTTACTTACTTCAAGATCTTCTTTGCTGCCAAAGCAGCTAACTCAGCTGATGGAAAAACAAAAAAGGCCAGAAACACCATCCTGCTTCATGGCTTTCAGCTCCTGCTGTGTATGCTGACATATGTAGAACCTTTCGTCAAAAATACTCTTATCCGCATGTTCCCTAAATACACTGCTCACTTACGCTTTGTTTCTTATATCATTATTAACATTCTCCCCAGGTTTATCAGCCCCATTGTGTACGGGCTGCGAGACAAAACATTTAAAGAGCATTTGAAAAGAAACTTTACCATGAATCTTTTTCTTTTGCATAATAAAGTATGAGATAGTATTGCAGTGATTAGTACACCTACACTTCTTGTAACGAACTGTTATAAGGAAATTCACGGGTTCTTCTGTTTAAGGAAATAAACATCCTTTCTGTGTAAACATGAGACCACACAAATAAGTCAGACTTTAGTCAGTGAATTCAAGTTGATCTGGTCATAAACGAGATCATTTATTTATAGAATCGAAATAAATCCTTTATATACAACTTATTGTGAACAATCAAATTTTGTTGAGAGTTAAAACATCAACAACACTAATTAACCGTCAATATGACAACTCTAACAGATACAGCAGAACTTCAGATTTAAGGTCTTACTAAACCAGATGTTTGCAAGTACATTAAACTTGGTAATGTTTAAGTGTAAAGGGGCAATATCATGTAAAATCAACTTTTTTTTGAGTTTTATATCATGTTATAATGTTATACTC